GAAAATGCCAGAGTAAATTAAAAAAGTGGAAGCAAGTCTGCCCAATATTGAAGGAACAAAGTAAATCCCTGTGGGATGTGTGTGTCAAAGGCAGGGAAGAACGGCTTTTCCCAAGTAGCTTTCCTGGTGCCCATTTTGTTCTCTGTTCACTGCAAAACAAAGATTGTTGTTTTTTTTTAATTGTCCCAGACTGTTTAAATTCTGACATTTAAGTTGTTCTAGCTGCTGCTGTTAACTGATTTAGTAAATTTTCAGGCAGATATTACCAATGAGGAACTTACACAAGAACGGCTTTTCCCAAGTAGCTTTCCTGGTGCCCATTTTGTTCTCTGTTCACTGCAAAACAAAGATTGTTGGTTTTTTTTAATTGTCCCAGACTGTTTAAATTCTGACATTTAAGTTGTTCTAGCTGCTGCTGTTAACTGATTTAGTAAATTTTCAGGCAGATATTACCAATGAGGAACTTACACTTTATTTTATGGAACTGATCTCATTTGGCACTACCAGAGGATCAAAGGCAACAATCTGAAAATTTCTCATTAAGTCCTAATGAAGGTTGTTATTGCTGTTGTTGTAATTGTGTCACACTTCTGGGAAACTGTTGGGTCTTAACATATGCAAGTCCATATGTAATGTTATGCCAGGATTTTTATTGTATATTACATTTTCTTGAACAAGCCACAGTAACCTGGTTCATTCTTAACACAAAGCCATCAGGGATGGGTTCATATAATGACAGAAATAAGCAAACCATATTATAACTAGTGCAAAAGAGGTCATGATATTGAAAAATATTTTTTGAGATTATAGCAGCCAATGAGCATCAGGCAAACTGAACAGTGTTGAACATATTTGCTGATTTTGGCCAATTGTGTTATGTTTCATAAACACAGAAAACAGCAAGCAGTTCTATAGGAAGTGGATCCAATATCCCAGATTTTGCACACTCTGTCGATTTGCTTATTTATAACTGAGGATTTCAACATACATTGTGCTCACAGGTTGAAGCCTAGGTTCACAGCCATAAGGACTAGAAACATACTTGTCTTTTTTTTTAAAAAATAAAAGTTGCAATGTTTAGGAGGGAATAGAATGTTATATCAAGTATCAAATTATATCCTCAGTTTATACTTTCAGAAGCCCTATTTGAGTGGCTGCTTATTGCATGTCCTTCTCAGATTTCCAAGAAACCACCCCAATTCTGCCACAAATATTAACCCTTTGATCACCTTTCATATGTGCTAGTTTGGCTGCTGTGGTGTCAATGGTCCAGAAGATTTTGAGGCAGCCTCTCATTCCATTCTTCTGGATTCCCATCATGCTGTCCCTGAAGCTTGTTGCCGACGGGAGCTCCAATCTCGTGATGGAGCATTCATCAGTAAAGAAGAGTGTCTGAAAGGAAAGGATATCTATCAGAACCAACAGGTGAGAAGATGACCAAAATACTTATACAATGATTTAGGCTGAGGGATAAAAGTATGGTGTGAAAAACTCCTGACTTGATGTGATTCTTTATCTAAATGATTGAAGACTGTACCCTTTCTTTGGGTGAATTACTCTTCTTCCTCTTCCTCTTCCTCTTCTTCTACCATATAGGACAAGATAGTAAAAAAGGGGAAAGATTTATATGACCAGAAAAGAAACCAGAATTTGCTGTTTTGGCTTGTCTAAGATCAAGTATAGAACAAGATATTAATTTAGCTATCTCTTATGGTGTTTACATTTGCAAGAAACATCATCTAGCATGATCACATTTTGCAAATGGATAACTGATATTCAAAAAGGGTGACGCACCTACAGGCATAGAGCATGTCTGCAGAACTGGGGAGAATGAACCAAAGAATCTTGCAGTAATGCTTCTACCCGCAAAGCACTCATGAACAAACTTAAGCATCATAGAGATTTTACAGCCTGTCTTCTGATCTACCTGTGTTTCAGATTGTAAAACAAGTTGATTAAATGTAGAACTCCAATCTTACATTTCCTGACCTGAGTGTGGGGGGAAGACAAACATTTTCAGAACTCTCTCCCTTTATTATACGATATATTTGTCTATCAGTTTATCTGTAACCGAGTACTGGCTCTGTTGTGCTTGTCCTTCTTGGGCTCTCTGTTTAACTGTTCGACTCTATCAGGCTAAACTAGGATGAGATGACCACACTAAACAAGAACTAAACTGTCAAATTCTGCTCCCCATAGCTTCTGCCCGTTCAACAAGGCTGAGGAGGACAGGCATGCTCCAGGCCCTCAGAGACTGCCCTCCACAGGGCCTAAGGAGTTGAGCCTTCTCAGTTGCAACTCCTCTTCTCTGGAATAGTTCCCCTCCTGAGATAACCAGCCTCAATCCTGTTGAGTTTTAGGAAAGCTATAAAGCATGGCTTTCTAAGATTGCCCAAGAAGGGAGCTGGGATTTGCTGAGAACCTCCGTCTTGGGCTGTATATGAATATTTATTGTTCCTTAGTGCTTATCATGTTCTTTGTAATGTTACTTGTTATTAATAATTACTCTTTTGTTCTATTGCTTTCCTGTTTCAATCTTCCTACTGAAGGAAGAGAATACAAGCTGCTCAGAGTCCCCTTGGTTTGGAGTGGTATATAATTTAATCATTTTTGTTAACGTGCTCTCAATTTTGAAAGTTCTTTCGCTAGCTGTTTGTGAGGTTAGCAAGTGAATGCACTGACTTTGCGTGAACATTTATTTCGAGATGGATTTCTGTCTTTCTCCCTAGGGCTGCTACACTGTGATCCTGAACTCCCTTGAAACCTCTGTGTATCTTGCAGGAGCTCTTGCCATTGGTGTTCTAGCCATCGAGGTATGGTACAGATTGGTTTCCTGCTGGCCACACTAATGCCAGGAGATGTCTTCTTTTTTTTAATGTTCTCACCACAGCCCCCTCATCTTACTCATAGGAATGTGTAAAAAATTATTTAGAGCAGTGTGTTCTCAAACTTGGCCATTTTAAGATGTGGGGATTTCAACTTCCAGAATTCCCCAGCCAGGCTGGGGGGGCGGGGGGGGGATTCTGTGGGTTGAAGTTCATACATCTTAAAAGCTGCCAGGTTTGAGAAACATTGACTTAGAGGAAGTGCTTTGGGCCTTATGTGAACACAGCACCTCTCTGCCATTCCTTAAAGCAGCTGGTGGTTAAGAAGTCAACTGATTTACTTATGAGTCTCAAAACAGCCACAACCCTCTTATTTTTAATCTGGTTTGGAAGTCTGATGTTTGAATCGGCACTGAAAAGTGTACACCCTAGTTGTTAACTTGCAGCATTTATATGCTGGAAAACAACTGTCCTGTGCTGCCCTCTCATGTTAGGCATAGCATCCTCACTCATTCCAAATGCATATGTTTGAGATGAAGTCAATTTCACTTAATAAAAACATATGGAAGCAAAGCAGTTATTTCCCTTTTTAATTTCACATTCACTGGAAACCTATTCCTACATTCACTGATAGATCAGTTTAATATTTTTTTAATGTTTTTCTGTTGATCTGCAAGATTGGTCAGATTGTTCAATAGGGTCACTTAACTCTCCACATATTGCAGGCAATGAACCACCATGGCCGAGGGGGTCCCATGCATCCTTGAGGGGTTTTGTGCAGCCTCTGGAGCCCTTTCCTCGTTTGCTGTCAAAGCTTTACAGCAAAATGCCATTTCACTTCATCTAGACTTGAAAGCAGGATCGGGCTTGGTTAATATGTGGAATTCCAGGGCTCTTGCTGAGACTGAGAGGTCTACATGAATATATAGTTTCATGGAACTGAGCTAATCTCCAAGACTTTATTACTCTGTTTGGTTCTTAGTTAGCCTAACGCTTTTTTTTTTTTTTTGCCTTTGAGTCAGTATTGACTTCTGGCGACTGCCGAAACTAGTCCCTGCAGTTTTCTTGGCAGTATTTTTGGGCTGAGAGAGAAAGTGACTGGCCTAAAGTCACCCAGCTGACTTTGTGTCTAAGACAGGACTAGAACTCACAGTGTCCCGGTTTCTAGCCTGGCGCCTTAAGCCACTACTGAAAGAGATGAGGGGAGCTAACTACTTTTCTTCCAGCTACATTTAATTGTTCATCTAGGCCTCAGAATGGCTTCCAAATGTGCCAGTCTGAAAAAAATGGCCACCTCCCACCCACCCTCTCCAAATTGTAGAGGTATTGTGCATTTTCCATGCCTAGAACCCGTGGATAAAGAATTGTTTGACACTGTGTGGATGGTCTGGATCTTGACATGCTGGATGGCTCAGGCTGCTTTTTGGCAGGTAGGTGGGGTTTCATTATGCAGGGGTCTGTGCCAACATGTGGATATTGCCTGTAGCAGGCAAGATATGAAGAACAGAATTAGCAGTATAACCGCACCACTCACCTTTTCGTGTACTGTCTTTATGAGAAAACCCATGAACTGGGCTGCAACTCCCTCACATTAACAAGGAAAGGAGCATGGAGGGATTTGGTGATTATATAGTCAAACTTATTTCATGGAGTCATTTCAGCCCACATTCGATTATTTGAACCAAAGAGAAGGAGCTGGAAGAAACTGCTGGAGTCAGTCAGCTAAAGAAATTACTCTAGCCCACTTAAAGAGCAGAAGCTTTAAACTGATGTTTGTCTCACAGGGAGGCCACAGAAATAATTAAGGAAAGGAGTGATATTACTTCAGCAGGATTAAGTTACTGTTTGGTGACTCTTCCGACATGTTTGGGGGCTAATTTATCCAACTGACACCAATATTCTTGGGGGCTTAAGGAAGAGCAGAATCTTGCTTTTTTAAAAAAAGAACATACAAGCTTGAATCAGAAGAAATGTATTAATGATCTCCATACAGAATTCTTCTTTTGGACAACATTTGGTAGGTCTTTGATTGACTCCTAGTCCTGTTCTTCAGAGGGTGCTCCCTTTTTTCTGCACCATAGCTAAGATGAACTAAACCTTTCTGTTATAACTAGACTCAGTAGGCATTTATTTTGCCATATTAGATATAAAATGTAGTCTCTTACATACCATATACATAGATGCTCCCTATATCCTTCTAATGCTATACACACATTCACACACACTTTACTGTGTATACTTTATATGGCTGTAATATATAACTTTTTTTGGTTCACAGTTTTTATATCTTTTATACCTTCTATACATGCAACTCTACCTATTATATTTTAAAGTTTCTTCCCAATGACTGTACCCCATCCCCTTTTGCTGGTCTAGGACTGTAATAAAATTGGATTTGGTTTGATCTGTTATAACCAGGACCCCTCTCTTTTTGTCTTGTGTCTCACTCCTTCACAGCTGTTTGCTATGATCTTTGCTATGTGCCTCTTTCGGGGGATCCAGTAGGAAGTGCTTCATGAGCCACAAATGATTTTTCAAGGACATGCTTTGAAGAAGGAAAAGAAAGAAGAAAAACTTTATTTTTTTGGTTAGCAAAATAAAAAAGGAGGGAAAGGATTGTAATATATGAATGATCAAAAGGATTGTACTTCAGGGGCTGGAACTTTGAGGTGCTGTCTAGTTCCTTGCCAACTTCAAGGGGAGTCATTCATCTGAAGCCACTCAAAATGGATTGCACTAAAGGCCTGCAAGACAGGATAGGAAATGAACTCTAATAATATCCAGGATGTTGTGTGGAACACACATCTCTCGTATAATAGTGATCCATTGATTGAAGAAGAAAAAGAAGAAGACCGCCTATTTTAAATGAGATCTTCATTTAGAATACTAAACTGTCATCCAAAGCATTGTGATGTATACAGATTAGTTCAGTTTTAAGCTAATAGGGAAAAATGCATTGGCACTTGACTTGCTAGTTTTCTGCCAAGATGGATAGTTTCCCATCTCTTGCGCTATCCAGAAGATACAAGCATTCTGGAATGCTAGGAATGGAGAACGCCTTCACCAAGAATCCCAAGGATGGGATGGTGTGTGTCAGATCTAATGGTGGAACATACAATATGCTGAAATCAGTGCATACCATTTTAGTGCATACCATTTATCACATTGAATTTTCTGATCAGTGTTATGTGAGAACAAAGACTAAAGCAGCTCAGCTGCTGGTTCCCTCACCTTAAAGAAAAAAAAATGTCCTTGTCTAGAATTGTTGGTGCTGTCTCCCTTAAGGAGATGTATCTGTTTGGGGTTTTTTTAGGCTTTTGAATGTTCATCATGCTCTGTGAAAAATACATTGCCAAGTTTGGCCTTCATAGCAATTGATTAGCTTGGTGTCTTGTCCCCATGTGCCTTTCAACCGTGTTGTTGTTTTTTTTTTAAGTCCCCAGCAGGCAAGGAAAACAGTGAGGTTCTTTTGCAGTTGTCTTATGCAGAATTTAATTTGTAAGTCTTGTGGTATTGCTTCTGTTTCAGGCATTCTTAGCTTAAAACACAATGTACCCTGACTTAAACCTTTTTTCATTTTGAACTGTTGCCAAGTTCTAGCTTCAGTGGTCTATTATCCACTCAGCAAACACGATCAATAAGCCTAAGAGGCCAAACTGAAGTTCCAAGACATACAAGCAGGGATGTGTAAAACATTTCAAGTGCAAAGAATGTTCAGCTTGAAACTTTCCATTTCAAATTTTAAACAGTTCCTTCAAGTTTGAAATGGGTTGCCCTGACCATTCCAGAGGAGTGAAACAGCCCTGTATGAATCTCAAAACACTTTCTTCCAATTAGGAATATTTTGTTCAGCCTTCATTCCGAGGAATATTTGTTGCCTAGGTTTCTAATGAATACATAAATTACAGTGAAATTACATTACTACAAAATAGCAGACAGAGATGTAAACTGGCAAAATAACATGATCTGACACTTTTAAAAAGACATGGTAACTTAGTACTAAAAATATGAATAGGATTTGGTGACATTGCATGCCAAAGATGAGATGTTGAGAGTCCTTGGGGAAAGCAATAATAACAGGGTATTCCTCTATAAGTAATAATCCCCAAAAGTATAGTTTGGGAAAAAAACAAAACAAAACAGCAATCATCTGATATGAGGTAAAAAGTGAGAACATGCTAGAACAATCATAATTATCATAACTATTTGGTTAATGAATGGCAACACATGATAACCTAAATCTTAATGCAATCCTTGACAATCTCCCAAACATGGTTTCAATGGTATTTTGTTCAGTTCTACACATTTGGAATTCACTATGGCTCCCAACCATGACAAAGCCACGTTTTCAGGATTTGCAAAAGAACTCTGGTAGTTGAACCCATCTAGAGATAATGGCATGCAGCTCTCACAATACAGGTATCATTTTGTTGGGGTTGGGGGTGGTGGTGGAGCAGAATTCTATTTGAACAACATCTTGGGATGTACACAGAGTGCCAGGTACTGACCTGTGACTCAGTAACCTACTACTGGCTGCTCCAATGGGCAGGATCCAGCCAAGATGAGCAGCATGTGATTGTCTGGTGATTGTTTAATTCCAACTACTATCAACCTTAGCCAACAGGGAGGATGCTAAGGGTGTTATTAATTATTATTCAGAAACATCTGAAGGGCAATACATTGGCCAATCTACTTCAAAGAATTAGCCCTAAGACCTGTTCTCCATCTCCCCTACCTCTCCCAAAAGATAACACATACCTTGAAAAGTGAAACTAATAAATTAAATGACAGATGGGGCAGATGAAGGCAGAGCTAAGAGAAGTCTAGCAGAGTTTCCTAATATTCTCTTGCTGTTTCAGAATCTTAGTGCCTGTGTGTCCTTAGTTTCATTTCTGACTCATTCTGTTGTCTCCATTTGCTCTTCAATTTGTACTTACTTCTGGTATTCATCTTTCCTTTCCTCTGGCTACTTCAGCACAGTCACTCATAATAATCCCAAAGAAAATTGTAAGGAGCTGTTTAGATGATCAAGTCTGACCTCCTGTTTAGTGTCAGAGCCCACCTAGAGCCTCCTGACAGATGGCTATCTAGCTTCTGCTTGAGCAAACCTAATGAAAGGGAGGCCACCACTTCCTTGGCAGAGATAAGGGGGTAAATTGTTTTACAAAGTAATGGGAATTGTTCACTAGGTACTTGCTGACTTCAGAGATACCTGTCAAAGGCAAGATAGAGACATTTGTCATCTACTGCAAAACAATGTTAATGGAGGGAAGGGATTGTCTGAGAGAAGAAAGAAATGTATTACATGAGAGAATTCTTGAAGGTAACGCTACCAAACAGCCATGTTTGACCAAGCGTACAACTGAAAAAACTTAATTAGCATTTCTGTGCTGTCAGATTTGGAAAAGTCATTGCAGAATACTTAAGGATTACAAGCACGATTTCTTGTGCGTGTTTAGTTGGAGTTAGGCTGCAGCTGTTAAGCCTAAATATCATTCATTTGGTTTTGGCTTAGCAGATCATTTAAACTCAACCATTATGGTTCATAAACCTTGGTGTGTTGTGCGAACCAGTGAATTATGGATTCGTGCTTAAACAATCTGTAACTTGGCATGATAACCAA